TTTATGGTCGAAAGCTCCGGGTGTGGCGCCCTAAGAAAACCATCTGCTTCGGTTTGGATGTGCGAGCAGTATCCCATCCCTTACACAAATCAAATGATTTATGTTGTGCACATCTATTTGGTACCTCCTTGTATCAATGTTTATGTCTTCAAACAATAACAGAACTATTATAAACCATAGTACATTGAATAAATGTTTCTTTCTAATCTATGCAAACATCTCATTAGTATTCACCAATAAATTTATCAAGGATTAAATTTAGAATAGTTGAGCTTTTCAGAAATATAAATGAGTTACCTTTAAATATCATTATCCTATCGTACAAAATAGATTCATTCATTCATTCTTTTTTCTTTTTTTTGATTTTCTATTATCGAATAACTTTACATTTTAAACACTTTTCTTTTCTTTATTTTTTTTAATCATTTCTCTATTTCTATATCTTGTTCTGCTTGTTTTTTCTTTTATATTCTTCTTTTATAATTTTCTTTTTCTTAAACTAATCACAGAGAGAGAGAGAGATAAAATTATTCTCATATTTATCTTTGTTCATTTTGGTTTGATCTTGGAAAATGTTTTTTTCTCTTTTTTTCTTTTTTTTCTTTGTGTGTGTGTGTGTGTGTGTGGAAAAATACGCATCAATAAGGGATATTGTTCTTTGTTTTGTTTTTGCTTTCTTTCTTTCTTTCTTTCTTTAGTTTGCTTCTCTTTTTTTAGAATGAATTTATTCATACAAAACTAATTCTTTATCAGTTAAGACTGTTTACCAAAAGATAAATGTATATGCAGTTCTTTAGAACGCTGGCCGATTCAAATGTACAAATGGATATTACATATATATATATATATATATATATATATATGTATATGAATAAACGATGTACCATCTAGTCACTAAGACTAAGTCCATGATACATAAATCTTTTTTGTTTTAATCCCATCTACTTTTGTAGGATTAAATTAAAAGAAACAATACCAATACTAATCTATAATATTGTGTATAAATTATAAAGATTTTGTTATAACATAGAAACACATACGATTTAGATTAAGTTGTATCAATAGTGATGAGAAATTCTTACATTAGAAGGGGTAATGAAAGGGGTACTGATAAATGTTAAAAAGATTTATATTTTTACTATACATTATTACTTGTTTTGTTACTAAGTTTAAATAAGAAATCAAAAAAAAAGGAGAGTAGAGTTGGTTTTCAGAATGATGTTTCATTGATTTTTTTTTTTGTAGTTTCATTCAACTAAACATGAATTAACCTTGAAAATGTTTTATACAAAGATGGATAATGGTTAATAGTGGAATTCAGGAGGCGAGTTTCATCCTATTTGGAACTTGTCAAATGGATGTACCTAAATCTTAGAGTTGATGTTCATTTTAAGACTCGAACTCAGTGCTGTTTGGTTCAAATGCCATCGTGTTATCCACTTATCTGTTGTTTTATGTTTATTTCTTTTTTTTTCTAGAGGTCAGTAAGTATTTTTTTTTCTTGAAAGATGGATGTTATTCTGATGAGTCGATCTCTGTTTCATTATTTAGTGTTATATTTTAGTTTCCCTAGCTATCCATGAACCAGCTAGGAAATGATTTCAGTACTTTCAGATCGGGTGTTAAATCTTCATTATCAAGACACTAGGTTAAGATTGAGCAAGTTCACTTCTCCTGCTACAGTCCACTTGAAACATTCTTTGATAGAACATATAATATGTGATTACAGATTTAGATAAGATAATCATAACGACACTACTACTCCCAATCTATACCCCTTATATTCAGTCTGATTAGTAGTTTCAAATCCGCCTGGAGCCCCTCTAGAGCTACTGCCGGTCCCAAGCTCGGGTAAAGGAGGAGGGTTGGGCATGAGGTTTGTGACCATATCCCGTAGAAAACTAACTCATTAAAAAACAACGCTAACCAGAAAAAATAATTCAAACCATTTAAACTCTGCCCCAGGAGTTAAAAGGTTTTCATTTAGAATAGTTATGAAGCCCCATAGTGAAAGTCGAGTTCCTTCGGAAGTCACAAGGCTGATGCCCATTCTGATAACCAGAGTAACCATTAATTTAGGTACAAAGAATATTCGTACAATGTGGGAGACCGAGAGAGTCACCCAAATTGCTGCAAAAATGAAAAGATATAACCTGGATGTGCTTGGAATCAGTGAAACACAATGAATGCGGGTCGGATGACAAAGACTAGATTTATAGGAGCTGCTGTTATACTACGGCTATGAAGAAGAAAATGCTTCACATACACAAGTAGTTTCACAACTTGAATTAACTTACAAGCAGACATAATATACTAGTCATTGTGACGAAAACTGACCAATTTATTTGATTTATAGTCGTAAATTCATATTTCCTATTTCTAAGGATAATAATTATTACCTTTCATAAGTAGTATAGTGAGATGAAAAGATTAATTTTAGGATTATGGTGTATGGGTCCAAGGCATTTTAAGAAATCTGGTCATACATATTACTTATCAAAGCATTTATATATGAATAAAATATTGAATTGATCTTTACAAGTTCTCATATATAAATGGGTTGGTATGTTAAGTAGAAATGGTGTTTTATTTTTGGAAAGAAAAGAGAGGTAAAATGATCTAATTTGAAAATATAAGAAGTTTCAAATTCACTTAATATTGTTTTTAATTTAATCTTCACATTAATATTCAGGACTGCAATTGATCAGTCTCTTATTAGTATATGTGCACATTGTCTTGATATTGCCTTAATTTACAAGTGTTTGAAGCGAACAGTACTGAGTTCGAGTCCCAGAATGAATATCAACTCTGAGATGCAGGTACATACAGCTGACCGGTTCCAAATAGGATGATGTTATATCCGAGCGAAGATTAAATCACGAGTAACTTATGGGACATATTCATTGGCTAATATTATCTATATATTCTCATGGTAAAACTATTCAATAATTAGATTATGTATATTTATATTCCTCTTATTATAAGCCTTATTTTGACCTATAATTTATTACTGTACGATTTACTGTTCATAAGCTATGTTCAGTTTATTTATTGACTACTGCCTCCCACGTTCACAACCACTTTTGGCTTTATTGTGTATGAATGTTATTTTCCTATTTTATGGTGCGTTGCGGTCTGTTTGGTTGATATATAAACCCAGTATGTCTGAAATAAATTATTCGATTCGTATAGTGAAAGCTGGTATTGGTGTTCTGGACTGAAGTGGACCGGCTAAGCGGACATAGGCCCAATAAGGTCGCTAAACTGCTCATACCGGTCGAACGTCATTGGTTTGGCACAGTGGTAATATTGTATAAGTCGTATTTTGATTGGCGAATAGATTACGTGATAACAAGCAGCTCACAAAATCATAACAGACAAAACGAGCGGCCTGGATTCCACTGCTAGCCACTATCCATCTTTGTTTAAAAAAGGTTTTGTTTTTACCACCAGAAGCTTTAAAATAGATTCAAGATTAGAAATCTTTTGATAAATGTTCAGCTCAAATAAATCACGTTTTAATATCTATTCTATCTTCTCATCATAATGCCGACAAATATATGTGTCTTTTACTTGGTTATTCCAGATTATTAGTATGGGGATATGTGGTATTTTCACATTTGAAATCACGAGTTAATCTAAGCTAGAGCACCATTGTCAAGCTGATAGCACTAAACGATTGTTTCGTCCTAGTATGGGACTTCCCAGTAACGCATATTCATAATTCCACACACTAAAACGGAACCCAGAACCTTCATTCTCGTCCCCAAACTCTTAACCCCTAGACCATTGGGCTGGTCTTGCTTGAGGTCGATAGTTGTCTCCAACTCTACATAGACTAGACTTCATTGATCGTGACTATTCACTAGAACTCCAGGAGTTACATCTTGAAGTTAGTCACCAGTGAGCACATGACTGTCATCAGTAAGGAGGATTTTTAAACATTAAAGAATTTCCAAAGTCGAAATTTATTCTAATTTAATCATTTATTTAGTGTGGTAACTTTGTAAATCCTATTGAAAATTTGTTGAAATGAATGTTCTATGTACTGGACTAACTTTGTACGTTAATATAATGTGAATTTTTGAAAATCGATGTAAATAATTTGTAAGTTAAATCACTAAAACCCAGTAACATCGAAAAAGGGTTTCGTCCAAGCATGATATATCTCATCAGAACTGAACACAGAATCTCACTAAGTTATGAATATGCATCACTAGAGTCTCATATCAGTATCAAACAGATGTTCAGCGCTTCCTGTTTTTAATAGTTGCCTAAAGTTGATCCATGATGTAAACCATAGAATTCACTGAACTTTATCAATCATTTACAATAACATAATTAGGCGAGACTAACTCCGCCTGTAGCTCTTCTAGAGTTATAGCCGGTCTCAAGCCCGGGTAAAATAGGAGGGTTACGAGTGGGGTTATCGACCTCATCATGTAGAAAACTAACCCGCTAAAAAACGCTAACCAGAAATTTGGTGAGACTATAATTTATGGATGAACCAATCAGGTATAAGATAACAGGTCTCCGATTTTGGCGCGAAATTCATTCAACCGTTTGGATAATTGGAGTTTTGGTATTATAGCTGATGTCAGTTCATGATGAAAACCCTAAATCTGATTCCTTACCTTAACTGTCAACTGTATATTATAACTCTAATTTCACACACAGGTTTATAACCCTCATTTAGTTTTAGTTATTAGGTGGACACTGTCAAGGTTATTTCATTGTCACTCAAATGGTCGTCGATAAATTATAGTCTCACCATATAATTAATATCAGAAGGAGTTTTTTATGGTCCACAGAGCAGAATAATGGATGCGCACTGTTTAAGAGTCCTAACAGTAGAATGAAACAGCCGTCCAATGTTTCCAAGATTTTCATAATGGTCTATCATCAATTAACTCATAATCTCAATGGTTGAAATGAACATAATAATGAATCAATAATCGTTCCATGAAATAAGTTTTTTTAAATTATTTCTTAAATCTTACCTTTTAAAATAAACTTCTCCTTGGCTAATCCTAATGCATTTTCAGCATAACACCAATATTCACCGGTATCAATTAGAATTAAATTGTTTATTTCCAATATAGATTCCACATATCCTGGTGAACGTCTATTGTGATTTTTTTCGTTTTTTTTTTGAATAGCGATCAAAATAAAACGTGATTTAAACAATAATTGAAGTTAGTTACTAGGGTACAATTTATTAATTTGACTTTATATATATATTTATGTAAACTGGATATTTCATATAGGAAAATGATATATACTACTTATTAGATTGATATTTAAGCTAATACACTGAGACATACATACGCGCACACATACACATATATATACAGAGAATAAAATAGAATGTTGTGTGTATTTTGAGAAGGGAAAAATTCTTCTCTATTCAACTCTAATTCGTTTATATTGGAATAGTGTTGAACAATTAACAAGAAAACAACAATTAAAACAAACTAATCTCTTATGTATGTATCCTATAGAGATATATAGAACAAAAGGAAGAGGTTAGAATTGAGTAACAGTAGTATATTCTATAAGTAATATTATCTTATTAAATACTAATAGATAAAGGGAAGGCTGAAAGATTACAGATTTTTAATTGGTAACAAAGTTACCCTGTAGTTCAACATAAAACATACTTAGTTGATTGTTCATATAGATGATAATACAATAAGTAATCAGTTGACAGTGGAGACAAATGTTCCAATTACGTGTATGAAATATACGATTGACATATATATATACTACTTACTTACAAGTCATAAGTAGGTTTCTCAAAGAAAAAAAAACATACTATCAATATAATTCAGTTAACCTAGAGTAAACGATAACTTTGAAAAAGCAGAGAAAGAGTATAGACAATCGTTTATCCGCCTAGATTATGATCATCAATAATGAATTTGTATTTAGTGGTGATTAAATTAAAAGTTGAATTTTATGATCATAGTTATTTATTCTATTGATTTGTATGTTAAAATTCTTGGAAATACTGGGGAAGATTGATAGGTCCTGGGTTCGAATCTTGCGGGGCGGAATCGTGGATGAGAACTGCTGTGAAGTTTCAAAATAGGGCGAAACGGCCGTCCAGTGATTTCAGGTTTTTCATAGTGGTTTAGCTTCAATTGACTCATGATCTCAATTATCAAAATCAATTAAATGTTTGTCGATATAATTTTGACAATCTATGCAAATTTGCTTTTTAATTGGCCTTTCATTTCATGATCCAAGAGATCTGAATCTGGTAGTCACGTTTAAATTCATTTGATTTTGTTTTACTTGTATCTTCTCATTGTTAATTAGGACTTTAATTGACCAGTTTCTTATATTAGCATATATCAAATCTGGAATGCAGATACATTCAGCTGACGAGTCCCAAATAGGACGAAACGCATGTCCTGGATTCCACTGCTAGCCACTATCCATCTTTGCTTAAAAAAGATTGTATCACGTTTGTTTTAGATATTGAACATCCTCTAAATAAATGTTTCTATGTGCAGGGAGTCTTCTTTTAAGAAATTTAAAGTAATTATTCTCTTTGATAAATTTCGGTAATGTAATAAGAAGACGAAGATTATCAGAATTATGTAGTTCTGAGACGTTACCACTGAGCTATCCGAGCCACGACCGACCTCCTGCAGGATTGAGATGTAACCACAATTGATTGATCACTGGGTGGTGATCAATGTCATGTGTGTCAAGTCCTTATTTAGTGCAGATCGAATGCTATTGACCATGTTGCAATGTGGCCACCAGTCTGGGTGACTCGACACTGCGTGCACTACATATTGGGATTAGATGGTGGTTGGAGGTAGTCGACAGGAAACCCTGGACATTATCGAAATGTTTCTATGTTCTAATATACAATAATGAAAGGCCATATAGTAACACAGATGGCCACCCTATTTATGTATGTCTTCATGAACACCAACTAGTTATCAACACACTAAGACGTACCTATATAGAACCGTGTAGATAATTGTTGACTGGGAAACTATTGTAGTACTGGATAGAAGGTAATATAAAGTAGACTAGAGAATTTTTTTAAATTTTAACACTGAGTTCAATCAATCTAACATTTGTGAACAAAGTAACGAAACTATAAACAATTGTAAGGTCTTAGTGGAAGATAATCAAAATAAACATTTAGACAATGAGAGGACAAAGGTCAGTAATGATAAAAACAAGATCAAATTCGACAAAACAAGCTGTTAGTCATGTATGAAGAGACAGCTTTCTGGAAAAAATTGGATATCAATTTCACTTTTGACATGGTACACATTTCAGAAACATTTCACTTATGCATGTGCTACATGGGAAGAATCATCAATGAACAAGGAGAATCTGATGCAAACATAAAGGAAAGGATTGGATAAATAAGGTCAACATTCCTACAGTTAAAGAACATATGGAACTTAAAATAACTCTCAGTCAAAATCTAAGTTAGAATATTCAATTCCAACGTCAAGACAGTTGGTTCCATTGTACGGAGATGAAACTTGGAGAACTATCACAACCATCATCAAAAGTGTACAAGTATTTCTAAACAATTGTCCACGCAAGGTGCTCAATGTCCGTTGGTCGAATACCATCAGCGACAACCTAATGTGGGAAAGAACAAACTAACTTCCAATTGAATAGGAAATCGGAAAAAGACACTAGAAGCGGACAGGACGTACGTTATGGAAATGATCAAGCTTCATCAAAAGGTAAACTGTAACTTGGAATCATAAAGGGAAACGAAAAAGAGGAAGGTCATAGAACACAGTGCATCGAGAATTGAAAGCATATATAAAAAGAACTGGCAAGGATTGCCCAGTACACAGTTGAATGGAGAATACTGGTAAGCGACCTATGCTTTTTCCATGAGGGGTAACAGTCGTAAGTAAAATAAAGTATTTAGGTTCGTTTCTTCTTTTTAGATGAGTCAAACACTTTACTTTAGTTATTTTGAGTGCTCCTCCATGAAGGGTAACAAATGTAAGATACATAATGTGCTTTATACAAAACCTAAATAGTTTTTCTAATCACATCAATAATGTTTTCAGTGCTGGCCATTAACTTTATTCTAATTATGGATATTATGAAATAGTTTTATCAATCGAACTCAAAATGTAATATACAACTTACTCAAATGTTTCAACTGTTAAACCTTTATCAGCTAGATTAATTGATTTCCCATCTCTTATCCACATAATAGTTGGTGTTGGTATACCAGTCGCTATACAGTTAGTTGTTAATGATTGACCATATTCTAACACTTGATGAGGAATAGATTCAATTGTAGGTTTTACTGGGATAAAAAATGAAGAATTTTGTTTTAAAATAAAATTAAAAATAATAAATATTCAATGAATTGCCTGCAATTTAAATTGTATTGAGTGGCAAATAGTTTCGAAGGCCCCAAACCGGTTTATATATATAATAGAATCAAGCTATTATTTGCCTCTATTTCTTCTTCTTCTAACATATGGGACTCAAAACAACTGTCAACCAATATCAAAGTGAGGATCTTCAATACAAACGTCAAGGCAGTCAGTTCTACTGTATGGAGCTGAAACTTGGAGAACTACCACAACAACCATCAAGAAGGTACAAGTATTTATAAATAGCTGTCTACGCAAGATACTCAACATCGATTGACCGGATACCATCAGCAACAGCCTTCTGTGGAAGAGAACAAACCAACTTCCAGCTGAAGAAATTAGGAAAAGACGATGGAAATGGATAGGACATACATTACGCAAATCGTCGAACTGCATCACGAGACAAGCCCTAACTTGAAATCCTGAAGGGAAGCGAAAAAGAGGAAGGCCAAAGAACACATTGCGTCGGATAATAGAAGCAGATATGAAAGCGATGAATAACAACTGGACGGAGCTAGAAAGGATTGCCCAAGACAGGGTTGGATGGAGAATGCTGGTGAGCGGCCTATGCTCCTTCACGAGGAGTAACAGGCGTAATTAAGTAAGCAATGTCTTGTTCTTCTAAGTATGAAGAATGTTCTAAATGACTCATACTATTTCGTAAATAACCAACACCCATAAATCAACATCGGATTCTTTTGAATTAATTAATCATTGATCTTACTTTGTTGAAAATCATTTCATTGGAACTTAAAGATTGATTCAGTAAGCAAACGATTTGTTTGTTCACTTTTATAATTCTAATAAATTTACTAAACAATTTCTTTCATTAATGTACTAGGTTCGAGTCCAAAAGGAAACATCAACTCCGAAATGCAGACACATTAAATTGACGAGTCCTAATTAGGATAAAACGTGAATCCTAGATTCCATTGCTGACCTGTTATCCATCTTCACTTAGAATATCTTATCTATTTAGAATTCAATTACATTTATTACCTTATTACAAACTATGGTTGGAGCCCCTCTAGGGTTATTGCCTGTTCCAAGCTCAGATAAAGTAGAAGGGTCGAGAATGAGGTTAGCGACCTCATTCCGTAGAAACTAACCCGTGAAAAAGAAAACTCAAACCTTATTACAACTTTTATTTTCATTGATGAGTTGATTAAAACATTGTACAAGAATTTGTTTTAATGAACTATACAATAGAAAGTTTAGAAAGTTTTCTTTTTTATATTCTTTATTGAATAATTCAACTGACAATTTTTATAGAAATGTGACAAGTTCAAACTTGTACCTTTTTATGTACCTTTATATGATTGTTTCAACTAAGCTAATCATTTCATCAATAATAATGAACCAATCGATCATGTAGTTGTTATGCTTAAATTCTTAAAAATTAATAATGTATATATATGTGTATAGTGTTAATGAAAATGATGAACTGTAAACTATGTGGGAGTTGTTTTAGTAAATGAAACAAAGCAAAAAAAAGAACAATCATAAACGCATAGATAGATAACAATCATTGAAATACTATAAGCAAAGATGGATAGTGGTTAGCAGTGGAATGGAAGATGTAAGTTTCTTACTATTTAGGACTTATCAGCTGGATGTACCTGCATCTCAGAGTAGATATTCACTCCCGAACTTGAACCCAATACCATTCGCTTTAAACACCATCGCGTTATCCACTTAGTGACTGAGTTCTGATAGACAATCGCAGTCCTGAATATCAATGGAAATATTCAAGTAAACAATACCAAGTGAATTTCCACTTCACTCATCACACAAGCAAGTGACTATCAGGACTCAGTAGTTAAGTAGATAACATGGTAGTGTTTTAAGCGAACGGTACTGGGTTCGAGTCCCATGGTACATCCAGCTGAAATGTTCCAAGTAGAACGAAACGCGCATCCTCCTTTTCTTTCCCAGCCACTATCCATCTTTCCCTATAATGCTTGTGAATTAAAGCAATATCGAGACAATATGCACATATGTCAATAAGATACTGGTCAATGACAGTGCTAAACATGAACGGTAAGATTTATGTAAACAACAATACCGAGTGAATCATTGAAGTGTTTTATTGTTAAGTAAAGTTATTTTTAAAAAAAAATCATTCGCAGTGTTTTTTTTTAGATATCTGTTTATGCAATTTCTCTTAGCAACAATGAAAAAGAAAAAAGGGTGAAGATAATATAACAAAAAAAACTTATGACAATGTTTGTTTTGATGAACATAGTTTAGAACGTAAGTTGTATTTGTTCTACTATTGATCTTAGTTAAAGTGCCAAACACTTATTTAGTCATAATATGTGAATTTTTAGTAGTGTGTAACTAGATCTTCACTAAGAATTGAGTCTAGAACATTTAAGTTATGCTGTAAATATTTAGCTATTGAAACCAACTAATCCCCACAAAACTCTTTTAACTAAACAATTTACTACTTATTTACTTTAAATAGATGAAACATAGTTGGAAAATGAGTTCAGAATGAGCGTTTATCCTATTTTAGACTCACTCTGAGGTCCGAACCCAATAACTTTCTCTTCAAACTACGACGCACTATCCAATCAGACAATCCGTTCAGATAACTACTCACTTATGTAACAGATGTGTATTTTAATTTTGTTATAGTTGATGCTTGAATATCAACTCAGGAACACAGGTACATCCAGATGACTGGTTTCAAAAAGGATGAAATGCTCATTCTAGATTCCACTACTAACCACATTCTATCTGTTCCATGTTAACTTGTATCACAATCACTATATCGACGCAATCTGTACAGGATAAAAAATTTGCAGATAAGACCTATGAAAACTCAATCAAACAGTTAATAACGGTATAATCCAAATCATAACAAATTCAATTGAAACAGTTTCATTATAAAGCAATCAAATAGATATTTCTTTATGAGACCAATTAATTGTATTGATGACAATAACAACATCTTATTAATATCATTCATTTATTGTATTGGTTATTTGAATCATCCTATTGATGTTTAGGACTGAAATTGATCAAATTTCTTATTGTCAACCAAAACAAAAAAAAAGAATTAAAACTTCTCCCCATATCATTAGCTAATGACTATCTGAACTCAGTAGCTAAGTGAATAACGCCATTGTGATGGCAATAAATCTTCACCCTTTCGGACACGGATGTTCAACAAAATTCTAATATCTAGCATTTTTTATGCAGTTCCCATTCATTTATTGGGTCAATGCTCTACATAAGAGTGTAATTATGTACTGAAGACTTCATTTTAATCATCTAAAGTCATATTCATATGTCTATTGTGAACATGACATTGTAGTTCCTTCTTACTAGTCTAATGGGGGGAAAAACACAAATTATATGAAAGTTAGAAATTGAAATAAAATATTCAACGTTCATGAATGAAAAGAAAGCTAGATACTGTACATAAATTAAACATTATAAAGCAAATACTCTATAAACTGATAGACTAGTATCCTATTGCAATGCCAAATAGTGTAAGAAACGGTGGCACAATTTCATACATTGATTGAAGTTAAACAATAACACTACTAGGACTCGGCTCAATGGTCTAGGAGTTAAGTGCTCACATACAAGACCGAAGGTCTTAGGTTTGAATCCCGTGGACGAAATCATGGATTCGCATTGCTGATAAGTCTCATACTAGAACGAAATAGCCTTCGAATGCTTCCACGTTTTCCATGATGGTCTAACTTTTATCGACTTATGAATTGAACTATTGTAGAAAATTATCATTGTATTCTTTTTTTTGTTACAAAACTCATAATGATACTTGAGAATCTTTATGCAAATCATGAACAGTTGAAGAAGAAGAAGAAAGGTCATATGAATGCATAAACTCTGATTAGAAATGAATTGTTATGCAATGAATTCATATCATTGACCTAATGATCATCTATGTTACGCTTGCTAGATGATGAGTGAAAAATGATTGATTACGGTTTTATATATCATATTTATTCAAATGTATTAACTTGAAAAACTGTGGTAATATTTGATATTAGAAAGCATAAAGTGTTATGTCGTTAAATTTAACATAGAGTTAGTTGAGTTTAGAGTTATCCGTTTCTGTAGGAATATGCAATGTAATGATCATATGAGTTTTAATATAAGGTTGTAAGGATTATTAATGTTTGTTGAGACCATGAACAAATCTAAGTTAGAAAATCACTAAAAACTTTAAAAGCAATAGATAGCGGTTCCACTCTAGTATGGGACTATTCAGAAGTTGTGGCAATTGAGTCCGTAACCTTCAGTCTCGTGTACGAACATGTAATCTCTAGACTACTGGATCGATATCTAGTGGTGTACATGACTAACCTTGATTCCTGGTTGAGAGATTATCAATTTACCCTGGTGGAAAAAACGTTCTCGTCGTATGAATTTTCATAAATTGGTCTCCTTACACAGGAGATCCAATTATCGACCTAGAATAAGCAGATGACATAGTCCTGTTTAGTGAACACACTGATAAACGCATAGTCTTTTGGTAACATTGAGAAACAATGCCAAGATGTTTGGGATGCGTTTCTCTCCCTCTAAATACAAATCGTCGCTTCACGACTTGTCTGAAATAAAAACAAGGAGTGAAGTAGTCAAACGACAACTTCACTTATCATGGAAATGTGATCAACCCTAATGGGTTTGACATCTGGAGAAATCTCTGCACGGATTCAAAAATATCGTTTGGCTTTTGCCAACTTACGTCACCTATGGCGAATGTGAGATATCCGTCTATCAATTAAGGGACAAGTATACTGCACGGCAGTTCGTTCTGTTCTACTTTACGGCTGCGAAACGTGGTCATTAAGAGTAGAAGATACTCGTAAGTTACTAGTATTGCCAATATCTGCTGGGATCACCAGTTAAGTAATAGTGAGTTTAGTGAATGATGGTAACTCAG